AAGATATTTTAAACAATAAATAATATGACTTTGTCTTTGAAAACAAATTGAAAGAATAAAAAGAAAAAATTTACATTTCAAATAAAATTGTCACTGTCTCTTGCCTTTAAAAAAACTACTAAGCACCCATACATAGTATCTTTCTGATGAAAAATGAACGAATATGCACAACTTTGTGAAACCGGTGAAAACCGGCGGATTCAACACTTAACCGGTCCGGTTACAACTCTGAGATATGTAATCGATTGCAATATATGTGATCATGTCGGAAGCTCGACCGCCGTAGAAAAGATATTCGGCTATTGAAACTACCGTTGGCAGAACCCTATATCCTAGTAAAATGCCTATGAATTTCTTGACAGAATCCTAGACATATTCTACCAGAGATCCTACAAAGATTTTGATTCTAGGATTCTAACAAAACCCTATACAATCCTAATGGAATCAGCGATACCCGAAAGTTGTAGGATTCTGTTAGAATCTGAATACGATCCTAACAAGAAAACGCGATTAGTGAAAAAATATTATAATCTTAAACAAATCATAACGGTCATTCCATGTAACTCTACTACCGAAAGGGTGATTCCGTAACGTTTTTTCAGTATCTCAAAAATCTTATAACGTTTGAATGAAAAAGAAGTCAGATTCGAACAAAACTTTATTGGAACGAAGAAACGACGCTTTCAGAAATGGGAATTAAGCAAACTCTCCAAAATGTTTCGTTTGTTCGGTATGATAGGACAATTACAATGTACTATCACTAGATTATGTCATGCTGAATAGTAGTTAATCTTTAACCAAATCAAGCATAACAATTAAAAGAGATATTGTTTAAATCTGAATTCTATTCCACTCAAACGCTATAAGATTTTTGAGATATTAAAAAAACGTTACGGAATCACCTTTTCGGTAGCAGAGTTACGTGAAATGCTCGATTAAAAAATCTTAAATATTAGAATCCTAGTAGGAAATACACAGGAAGTGCACAGGACTTTATCTAGACTACTAGCGCAAGCTGGAGTCTTTTTTGTTTATTATAGTCAGACTCGTGCTCATTTCTTTTCTTTGTGAAAACTAATTTTTTCAAATATTATTTCTTAGTAGTAAAAAGACTCATCAGAGTAGGCCTACATAGATCTACAAGTGGAACTCTTCTCTGCTATGCGACATAAAGTCTGGAATAGGATATTAGATATAGTCAAGGGTTATATGCAAAAAACATATTTAAGGCTAACGAGGGAACCTCTTCAAGTGTCCCTTCGTTTTTTAACGAAGAATAGCAGGTTATAGGTAATCGACCATGCTGATTTTAAATCTGATATTCATTTGGACCCATAGGCCTTTCCTAGTCGGTTTCTGGAAAACTGATCTTCCAGAAACCTCGAAAAATCCCCAAAACTTTTTCTGAATAAGCCACGATTGTAGTCCGTGAAATTCTGATCAAAATGAGACATCGCCCAGCTCTATACGCGCTTTCTTTGCAAAGTTATATTTTAGTTGAGTTTACAAGAAAAGCCCTAAATGTTCATTATCACCTCAGAGCTACAGAAAGAAAAAGGAACAATGAATTTAGGGCTTTTCTTGTAAACTCGATAACTTTGCAAAGAAAGGTCGTGTAGAGCTGGGAGATGTCTCATTTTGATCAGAATTTCACGATTACACTTGTGGCTTACTTAGAAAAAGTTTTGGGGATTTTTCGAGGCTGAAAAACTTTTGGTTTCTGGAAAACTGGTTTTCCAGAAACCGACTAGGAAAGCCTATGAGCCCAAATAAATGTGATCGAAATCAGCATGTTCGATTACCTATAACCTACCACATTTCGTTAAAAAAACGAGGGGACATTTGGGAAGGTTCCCTCGTAATCCTTAGCTCAGATAGTTAAATGCAAAGTTTCATGTGACGAAGTTGTTGATTGAATCAACAAATGACGATGAATAACTCTTAATCGGTGTGCATGTACACCTCATACTGTAATAAGCGTGTGCGAAACTTTGAAATGTGACGCTGTCAGCAAATGTCCCGTTATATTGATGAATATAGACGAAATGTACAGTAAAGTGTAACCATATAATACAAAATTAGAAAACCAATGTTTCAACTTTTTTTTACAACATGCACAAGTAAAAAGTTATATTAATAATACTGTGAAGCTCCGAGATGGCCAGCGTTGAAGCGGAAAATAAGAGTTGTTTTGAATTTACTCTTTACTTTTCATTATAATGAAAAAAATGAATTAACCGTTTTGAAGACCTTGAGAAAAGCTCTAACATTTATTTGTAATTAAAATTTGCTCACCAACTCGAGTTGCCTGATAGATGTTTTTCTTGTTTAGATATTTTGAAAGGTTAGCTATGTCGGAGCTTCGCATTATTCATCGTACAGCTCTTTAATGTCGCCCTTTGTAAATATTTAAACAACGACAGGTAGAGAACGAAGCGGAGAATCTTTTAAACAAAAATTAAATCTGTGCAGTAAAAACTATAACAGTTATTGCGGGAATACTGAAACCGCAATTTATTATGAACCCTTCAATATATATTCTGTAAATTATTTTTGCGACCAGATTGTTCACGAACAACTGTCCTAGCGAGCATCTCTCCAAGAGAGCACGTTGCCTTAAGAGGAGCTGTTCATTTCTTGTAATTCGTCTATGAGCAAAAAAAAAGAAACACTCTCGATGAGATGAGAATTTGTATGAGAAAATTTAAACACCAAAGTTAGGCTACGTCTCTATTATACTTGATCGCAAAATGGAAAAGATTTCATGTTTATTCTTAAGTTTAAAACGCTTTAATATGAAATTATCCGTTATTAGCAGCAAGAAAAAATGATCACATCAAACAGTAAAAAATGTTAACCAACCAAATGGACCTGTATGAAAAGCGGATGAAGTCTAATTTTTTACTTGCAACTAATTTTATTTATTTTTGTAAAAAATCAGCTTATTCAAATAACAAAAAAAAAATATATTAAATAAAACCAAAAAAATTTATCTTTGAACACATTTATACACACACACAAATACGATCAACACATCGAATGGCAACTATAATTAGATTCGATCATTATTTAACTAATCTACAGATAACAAACATAAACGGAGACAAAGACATCTATGTACATAAAGAAACAAGAACACGTATTGCTATATCATTTAATATTAAAACACGAGATCGAAATGGATGAGTATATCACACATGAGTTATTGGTATTTGTTTACTAGATGGCAATGAATATTTTGAACCGTTTATTTTTGTGTGTTTATGATAATAACTCATTTGATTTGAATGATGAAAATAACATCGACAAAAAAAATGTTTCCAAGTATGCATTGTTTTTCCATTTAAATTAATCCATAGACCAGTGGTTGTACCAACAACAAGTATAAAAAAGTATTTAGCCATATAGAGAGAAAAACTTGGCTGAGACCAAAATGTTTGTGAAGATGATGAGCTATCGTCACTATTACAGTCTAATGATGAACACAGGAGAGTTTCTTCCCATGTCGAACGGTTATATAATTCGTAAAAATAACATGCAATCACCTTAAATAGAAAGAAAAGAAAATAAGAACACCAATATTTTACAGGTTGATGGGGTGTATTCTAGAGTTGTAATTAACCAAGATCAGCATAGTTGAATTGATTTGGCCTACAAACTCGATTATATCGATCTTCACCCTGAATCTTCACATGTCATATGGTAAATTTCATTCACAGCATCAAAGATAAAAGAAAAGTAGTGATTAGCGTTCAAATTACTAAATTTATTCTCTCTCTCTCTCTCTCTCCCTCCTAATTTTCACTAGACTATGTCTGTACTTACAATAATAGCTGGTAGAATGTATAATACCGAGAATATGCCTATTCTACACATTAATTTCTCCAATTTGTATATTTTTGTTTTATCTTGTATTTTCATAACATTTCGAATACGTATCAATGATATTAGGCCAGCTAATAAAAATATTGAACCGATTGACAAATAAAAAATTAGTGGCACCAATACAAATATTTTCAAATAATATGAATTTGTTATACCCACATAACATATACCAGCAACAGGATCACCATCAATACCTTTTACCATTAAAATAGCAATTGTTTGAATACACGGTACCATCCATGCAATTAAATGATAATAAATAGAATAATTAGCAACAGCTTCTTCACCCCATTTAAAACAAGCGGCAAGAAACCATGTCAATGTAAGAATAATCCACCATATGCATGATGACATTGAAAAATAATAAATAAGAACAAAAACAAGTGTACAATTTGACGGACCAGACACTTGAGTTAATTGTAAATAAATGGGTGTTGTGGGTATTAGAAGGCGTAAAGGTAATGTAGATGAGGCATGGTAGGAAGATGATAGATGACAGCCAACGTTTTCATGACCGAGTATTAAACGAATTATATAACCACAACTAACAAAAAAATAGCATAATGCTAAAAATACAATGGGACGTTGAGGATATCTGAACCTAAAAATCAAGCAGAACAAATAAGATTAATATTAAAAGAATCTTATATACGATGTACTCTAAGGAGAAAAATATTGGAGTACTGTGAAAATTAAATAATGAATTTACCTCGATGTATTCATACAAAATGTGCCTAATACAAATATACAACTGATACAACAAAGTCCAGCCCAAAATGTGAGCCATAGTTGAATAATTAATTGAGATTTTTCATCTTGAAAGTAAGGTGAACGACATGGCGATGAACAATGTGAAACAATACTATTTTGAACATCGTAATATAAATCAGATTTATCCAGCAGACGATAACCCAATGTTTCGTTACATGTACAGCATTTTCGATTATCCTGTCGTTGAGAAGATGACGATGTTTTATCACTAAATATATTTGATAGTGATGGCGATTGTTTTTTCTGAACTAATGATGATTGATCAACAGCAGCCACCAAAGATGGCGATGGAGATGGATTTGAAAATGGATTACTTGTTTGATCATTCTTGCGTGGATCCATACAAATGGCATTATCTCTGCTCCATGGAAACTGTTCACAATCAAGTTGATCTGGCCAAGGTTTATTCATGTAATGTATATATGGCTCACATGGCTTTTTTACTCGCTCACAAACCTTAACAATAATATGAAATTAGACCTTTTTTTTGTAGAAAATAATGAATTTCTTTTTTCTTACTTCACGACATGGTGGTATAGTCTCAGAATAACTTGAAATACATAGTGGTAAATATATAGAACATAAAAAGAATCTCAGATCTGATGAACATCCAATACCCAACAAGGCCGTATATTGATTGATCTAAATGAGAAGAACACAATTGACGGTTACATCAATGAGAAAGCGTAAATACGTCATAATTAAGATAAGGTAAAAAAGATTGATATTAAACTGCGCTTATCTTTCATTACAATCATTAATTAACAAAGACTAGCTGTTTTCTTCTTGCGCCTGAAATCAAGAGTATTTGTCAACAGTATATCGATATTAGATTCGATTAATAATTATCAAGATTGTTTTCAAGTACATTTTTATGTTAATATATAACAGTAACTCATCTTTCACACCTGGTAATCAAATTATGTTTACATATAGTATTCTCTTTATTTAAATAGTTTAGAAAATATCAAATTTGTCATTATGCAGAAGTGGTCACTCCATTATTAACAAAAATGATTGAATTTGACCTATAATGAATGATCAACAGAATTTCTTTTTCTCATAAATAAAATGGTTAATAGAATTCGTCATTGTTTATGTGCAAAATCAATATGTACACAGTCGTCATCAAGTGACCTTTTAAATGTTGAATAAACTAAATAAAGATAGAAGAGAGACTTACTAATCGAAAATCGTACTTCTATGTATTCTTTCAACAACAGCATAAACATAAGTAGGAATGGCTTCATTATTCTATAAAAGTACAATCGATTTCTACCGGTTACACACACATACACAAACATATGGAAACAAAGAGTTGCATGTCTATCATACTAATTCTGCAAGTGTAACCACATGTATTCTTCACCATAGTATCTCATTAATTTGAGCTAACCTGATCATCCTGTTTAATTAGGCATTAAAAGAATGTACTACATTGCGCTGTTAAGAAAAGTTTGAGCTGTTAAATAGGATGATAGCAATTTTGTCCATTGGAGATATGATGAAGCATCATTTATGATTATATCATTTGGAATCTGTCTGTTTTGTTTATTTAAAAAGTATTCTACACTTTTACTTTATTTCTATCTACTATTTTAGAGATTCTATTTTTGAGTGGAACATACAAATAGGAAAAAGTTCAATATGAGTAACATACATAAAAACAAAAAACATTTTTATGTTACAGATCATCATTGTCATTATATCCAGTAAAAACATTTTATTGTTTATTATTGTCCTTTTTTCTACTATCAACTAATTCTTTGACTTCTTTCATGTTACAAATTGTAAGTGTTATTTGATTAAAAAATACACTATACAAATATAGTAGTGGACGTACTGTTATGTCACCGGTATTCTATTATTTTTTATGTAATAAGAAAATTAAATTATTATACACATAGCGGGAGAAAAACCCAATTATTTTATTACTAATGTAATGCGTAGAATAAGAATGGAAGTGTCAAATGATGTGTAAATCGGTAGATATTTCTAAATTGTACTCTAAAATTTTCTTCTACATTTTGAATACTTAAAATTAATCTTTAAATCAGTTTCAGAACGCATATAGAAGAAAGCACACATTTTAGGCTATACTACACGAATTTTTTCATGGTAAATCGACTATCCAGATATGATGCAATTTTACTGTCTTCTTTTCTTTTTTGAACGAAGAATAATCAGAAATCAAGTTTTTTTTCTGTTATTATCACATATATTGTAGGTTGTTCACAATCTATTATCTGATAAAATTTTTAAAAATTTATTTTTTACACTATAATTATCGAATTGTCTAATTAAACAGGTGTAAAACTTTCATTATACACGCATTTTACTTTTTTTCTATATGAACCGTCAACTCAGCATGTGTATATGTTGGTTTCACCTTATAGTCAACATAAGGCAACAAAAAAATATATGAAAGTGAAAACATCCCACTGTGACAATTATTACATGCACTCCTTGAAGGATATGAAAATTGCTGTTTTACAACTTATGAACACAAAAGAAATTCAATTTCATATTACCTCAAGTGTAGCTATGTATGAATGAAATAATATTATATTGAATAATCATTACAATTCTTCTGCATTTAGATCTTCATGTTCAGTTAAGTGATGACAATGAATAAGAGGCGAAAAAACTCTATACATTTTGGTAATAGCAGATAATAAAATTAAATTCTTATTTTCAAGGACCCTATGTGATTTGAACAATTCTCTCTTCTAAATGTACAGCTGACGTAAATGACAACATAAAGAGGACACTTATTCAAACCTGTGAAAAAGACAGATGCATCTGTTGAAGAAGGAAAAATAATAGATTATCGATAGATGTTATAAAAATCCATTTTTCACTAGTCTAAGACAGATGGTAATTGATTTCATTCGAAAATATAGAGTTAGCAGACTATAGGCTTGTCAGTCATTGTATCAAAATCTTTTTAGTTTACAAATGCATATAGATCCGTAAAACAATCGTACAACTTCAAGTTTTTCATAGTGAGATGTTCAATCACGCTCCTAGAACAGTAGATGAATCACTATCACACAATTTGAATAGATTCTGATTGATTTCAAGTGGTTACAAATACGTTTGAAATCACATGTATCATCTATAAAATACTCTACGGTTATGTCTAACTAATTTAGAAATCTCGAATGACATTTAGTTGAATAAAAATTCTCCATCTATTTTTATAGTAACATTTTTTTTTCGGATCGCATAATATTAAGCAACGTAAAATAGCCGCTTTCTACTTACCACCATGGCTACATCTTTTTGATCTTGATGATTAAATTTATTTGGTAAAGATGACATATTATAGCCAATATTTTTACATTCGTGATATGTTATCAACTGACATTGTCTTGTATCACGATAATCACCTGTTGTAATATGAATAACACTGAATAATAGAGTAATAATAATACTAAACATTTTTGTATTCAACATTGTTTGATAATATTGTTAATCACAGAAGGCGTTAACTTTATATAAAATAAAGTTTGAATATTGTGCTCACTTGTATTTAATGATATAGCGAAAAACGATTAATATACATTGTTTTTCTCTGAAAAAAGAAAAAGAGAGAAAAGAATAAGAGAAAAAATATTTAGGTATGGCATTGGTCAATTGCTGATGTGCATGACAAAATGATGGTCCATTTTATTCATTTCCTGATGTGAGTGACATGTCCAATTTTCATTTTGTTCAATTTGACACGATGACAGAATAGAGAAATGAATTTGTGTACATATCTTCTAATTAGTGATTTTTTTCACATACATGCATCTAATAAAAGACATACCAAATGATTATCAGTTCATTAAAACATAGAAGACATGTCAAAGAATTCACAATTTCAATGTAATCAACAGTATTAAAATGTTATTTTTAACTAATAAAAAAACCTGTGCCTAACAAACTAAATAAAATGTGTTGCTAACTTATTAAGCTTTATCACTGAATTTAATATTAAGATCAAAAGTATACACACACACACAAAGCTGGTTCATATTCCGTTCAAATTAGTATTATTTTAGTTTCTAATGTCCTATGGTATCAAATCCGGAGCACATTAGTTCTCACCCACAAAGTAATATGATAGAGATTAGAATCAATTTAAAAGTTAAACTAAGCCAATAACGTACACAAAAACTCTTTGACCGTGATTAATGGTCAACAACTATAATATTACGTAAGACAAATATCATTATGAATCAAAACTATTTAGTTTTTAATGATAAATATTTTTCAATAGGTGTATTTCATAGGTGAGAAGATAATTTGGATTAAAAATAAAAATTTGATAATGACAGTTATTGCAGATTCATTTCGATCATTTGGTAACAATTCTAATGCAATGTTCATCTAAAATCAGCAATTTGAAAAGATTGAATGTAATATAAAGATTAGATGATAGAGACTGATTATTGTGTTACGTACGCTAGGTTTATCACAATGAAAAGATTTTAGCAACAAAACAAACGAAATCAACGAAGAAAAAAAAGCGTATATGGTACAACTGTGAAATGAACACAAATTTGTTTCATTTTATCTGTTAAATTTTCTCTATGCTTTATTTATTTTTTTTTTCTCTCGCTCTCTATAATACACCATTCTTTGTCTTTCGCTCATTTTATCATCTGCTCCTATATTCAAGAGCTCTCTTCTATTGATTATTATATTATCCATTTTTTTTTTACTAAAACTAACGATTTTCTCTTTTGTATTTTATATATTTGTGCGCGCTAGGGGATTTCAATATGTCATAAAAAATTTTATTTTTTTCATTCAAGGACAAAATAACGATTTAAAATTATCTTTTTTTTTTATTTAGTCAACACAAAAAACTAATTAGTTCAATATACACACGCATTCAGTTTTCTGTTAACTTGATTTATTATATTTTTTAGTCTATCTATATCTTGTTGTAGTTAAATTCAGAATGAACAAAACGATAATTTTGAAAGGATATTACTACATTAACTTCAACAATATGACAACAAGTTCTTTTCTTCTTTATTTCTGCCTTCAGGCTGGTTCTACACTTAGAACAACAATCATATAAGAGCAAAAGTATTTGATTCTAAAAAAATGACAGAAGCACATGTCTCATACAATTCATAAAACAGAAATACATCATGACAAAAACTTCCGACAAGTTTCAATCCAAATTAATCTCAATTTATATTTCATCGTTGCATCTCAGTATATAAATAAAAATGGCAAGATTCAAACTTTAAAGGGATAAAAGACGTAGTAGAGACATCGATTGTCTATCTATTGCGTAGAAAAAAAAGAATAATCAGTGATTTTTGCCTTTTCCTCTTAAGTAAAAAGGCATGCGTGTGAAAATAGTTCTATACAAACATGAAATATGTTTGCTAATTTATAGTTTTAAAACACTTAGAAGTGATAGAAGCGAGTCTTCCAAATTGAGACCATTTTTGTGATGAAATGTGATCTCAATCTGGAAGTCTTAATTAACATCAAACAAACAGCAGAGAGCGAGAAGCGAGTGAAAAATATAGTGGTCTCAATTAAGAAGTAGCCAATAGAGCGTTATTAATGCTAATGGATCAAAGACGCGTAGAAAATTAGGACGATATCAGTCATCCGTTCGAGTGTCTTATCAAATTTTTATACCGTTTCACTCAACGCAAAATGAATTTTTGATTAGCGAGTCCATTATTCTGTATTCCTATATACGTACGCATGTAGAGAAGCCAATAATACTAGGTACAAAAAAATCATCACACTACTAGCACTGTTTAATATTTTTTACGAACAAAAATGTGAATGACATAAGGTATCAAAAAGTTTCATCAGCACATAGTAGAAAAGAAAAAAGTTTTTCATGACAAACCGCGTTTATTAAGAAAAAAATACAGAGAAGAGAAGACAATGAGAAAGATTGCAGTTGAAAAATCATCTCAAAGAGAGCTGTTCAACATGAACAGAATAGAAGAAAAAAAAGAATAGAACAGAGAATACTAAAAAAAGAACAATATTCTATATTTACAAAAAGAACAAGGGGCGAAAGGACATTGTGTTAAATGCCAAGTCAGATTTAGTCATTCATCCGTTAAACATCTTATATCAAGTGAGACAAAAGCATTCTTGTTCAATCCAAGGTCTTTTTCTTTTGTTTTTATCAGTATTTAATGGATTTTCAGAATACGCGTTTCTTTTTCTTTTTTTTTTACAAATGTGTCTGGAAAGCATGATGCTTTCGTGAATTTTGTCACAGAAACAACAACTCTCTTTCTCAAAACATTTATCTATACGATATCTATGAAAGTTTCAAATTACATAATGATCTATTGAGTATATATCTCTCTATTGTAAAGAAAGATGAGAAGATATAGAATAAGTCTTAGAATAGCATCCGTGAGATATGTATGTAAAGTGTGAAAAACTGGATCATTATCAATCTCATCAACACTAAATATTTTTAAGCAAACTAGACATATCATTAATCAATAAAATTTACTATTGGTTTGTGTTCATAATATTGAAATAAACTTAACGTTATACATATCCAATTTAACAGTCAGAATGTCAAATAAAATAAAGTTAAATGATTATACCATCGTTTAACTGCATTGCAGTCATTAATCTTTATCGACGTGTTGTCGAATGCATTCACGTTAATAATTTCATAAAATTCTAGTGTAATAAATGTTGTAATACTACATGTAGTATAATATTGATTATATGCGTTTTAGTCATTCTAAATCCAAAACTAAATATATAAGCAGAGATGACTGTGGCTAAAAACCTGTGTGTTCCAAACCCTTTTTCCTTTTTTCTATCTTCTTATTTTTTTCTTTTTGTGTAGTGTGGGAGAAAGTTTTTCTTGTTAAACTTTTTATCATCACCTTGTCAGTTTTAAGAAGATCATGAGCTAAATGAATTTGACTTTGACTTTGTTAAATTCTACTCAATGTTTAACTTTGGTATCTCTATAGTACATTTATTATATTTCACTGTCAAAGTTCTATACTGAAGTAGTGATTATTCATAGTGATTTTTGGAAATTCGCTCACCAAATAACTTTAATTTTTGAAGTCACAGCTCACCTTGAATGAATAATCATTCGGTTATAAAAGATGTTAGAATGTCGATCGTCAACATAATAAATTATATAAAAAAATCCTCGATATGAAGAATTGATTGTATACGTGTGCCATTTATAGTCATTTAATAGATCCCTTGTATTATACTATATCACGGTGTTTATGTTCATTATAATCTAACTGTGTTGTGTAGTGCAAATTGATCTTTCATTTCTTTCTCACTTCTCTCGTAGTATACATACACATTCACACCGTTATACTCTTCTTCTTTGTTTCACTCACTATACCTTTATAAATGAAAAGAAAAGGTATAAAATATTCATGTAGTTTGATCTCGTCGTGTTCTCTTCATCTTTCTTTAGCTTCTTTGTCTCATTTTCTTATTCTTCTATTATTTGAATATACCGAATAAAGCGCCGTATAAAACTATCATGTCATCCCGAGTATAGACAATGCGGTTAGGTTGTTACTATGATATAGTGTTATATGCGTGGTGGTGATGTAGGTATCTATATGCGCTTTGATTATGATGAAACAGTTAATAGTCATGATTGAGCTCATTTGTCGTATATATATATATATATAGTAGTAAATAGTAGTAACTATTTTTATACCGGCTTTCTTTTCTTCTTTTTTTCTATATTAAAAATAGAAATAAGATAATATCGAGAATGTTTAGATAGTAATATATTGTCATTTTCTATATTTATTGTAAAACGTTTGTTTAGTTTGTTCAATCAATTCATACCGAATCAAAAAAACATTTTCGTAATAACTACATTTTTTATGAGAGTCCAGTACACAAAGAGAAAAGTTTTTTATCAATAAAATTGGTTTCTATTATACTAGTTTTTGAAGTTGAAATATTTGAAAGTAACATGTCGTCTACAATTCTAATATGGACATATTTATATTTTTTAAAATAGTCTTTGATAAGATTAGTATAGAAACGTTTGTTTGTATTAGGTTGATATCATCTGAAAATGATTTCTTATTGCTTTTGTTGTTTTATTTATAAATGACTTTTGGAAACGTAATGACGTGTTATATTAGGTTGACATGCACTTAGAGATGCATAAATAGAAAATTTTTTTATGACAATATATCCAAAAATACAATATGATCATTGCATGAAAGAGACTAATAAATACAGAACTAAAGATCAAAATCGGTTGAAAGAGCAATTATTACTGTCTTATCAAAAAATCAGTGTGCAACAGAATAAATTTGTTTTCGGTAAATCATATGGGGAACAACCTGACTGTTATAAGTTTTCAAGTCATATTTTATCGAGATTTCCGAAATGAGTATTCTTATTTGTTCCATGTTCAGCCGCTGCAGTAGGATCAATTATAATTTACGATAGATGGTACGTGTATTAATTAACTCTGCGTTCTTTCACCAACAATTTACATGATATAACACAAATTGAAAACTTAAAATCTCTTTCTCTCTCTCTTGCTTTATCATAGTTTGACTGAATGACCAGACATTTTATGAGTTATTGAATACGATTGTTTTTTTCTTCAATTCTCTCGAGAAAATTTTATTAAAAAAACGATCTTTCTCTAATGTGCAGCTATACTCTCTCATCTATTCAATATATATATATATACACAGAGAGAGAATGGAAAAGTCTGATCCGTTTTTCTTCGGAAAACGTTGGCTGTCAATTAATATATTGATTCTGTTCAGCTTATGAAATATTTCGTAAAGTAGAAATTTCTAGTTAACAAAAAGCACAATTAAGATACTTTTTCATCCTTCCATTGAAAAATTAATTCTGACATAGTGGCGGATCCAACCTACGCTCGTACCTTTTTAATAATTATATGAGCGATCTTGCTTTGCGAAATAACTTCAGAATGAATATTTCTTAACATTTGTTTTCAGGTGCGAAGTAGTACGCACTCTCACCAAAAAGGGTTAATTCATTAATACTATCTTGAAAGGCTTGTTTAAAAACCGCTCGTACTGTTGAAAATTTTTGAATCTGTCACTGTTCTGACAGAATCAATTTTTGATACAGAGAAATACGACGAGTTAAGTAATACGAGACTAGAATGAATTAAAGCAAGGTCTATGTAGATTCGGTCCTGTCTCGACGTAGAACGGCATAAACAATTAGTTTGTGAAAGTGATAGTATTCCTTTGCAAAATATGTTCATTATTACATTTTTATATTTATTATAATTTCATTGTCTTTAATTCGGACAATATTCTTTACAGCTGATGTTCAGCATTTTTCGAGAAAACACCTATGGCATCATCATTTTAATTAAAATAAACATCGTAATTATGGTTTAATTTCTATTAAAAGACCAAATTGAGAAACAGTTGTTTCATTTTGAACAAAATAAGATGTTGTTTCATAAGAGTATTTATAATTATTTTTTGGATTTACTTTCTGCATTATCAGACATTATCATTTTCATCTTTTATGTCTCTACTTTTTTTTTCTCAATCCTTAGTATTAAGATTGATTATTAAGATTTAAAGAAATTGAATATTTCTCTATTTATTATATACGTAATGGTTCATAATAGTAATTGCTTCAGAGTCGGATTTAAAGAAAAAGAAAATCTTCTCAACATAATCAACAAAACTATACGAATATTGATTAATTTTGTATTAATAACATAGAATGAAGACATGTAATCTGGTTTAATGTCAAAATTCATACTCAGTTAAAAAACAAAATAACAACAACTTGTATTGTATTTGTTATGAATCGCGCACATTGTACTACATTTAAAACATGTCATCTACGAGGATCCAGTACATATTCTGTTTATTTTTGCTTATTTTCGAAAATATGAGAATAAAAGGTATTATTTAGTATTTCTATATAGTGTATCCTCAAGACATTAAACAACCTCGCCTTCTTATCCCAGCAAAAACATGTAAAGTGACAAGACACTCCAAGTCTTTATACAGTTCGTATGAAGTATCCCATATATGTTCATTGTAGTCAAACCATTCAATCGTCCTTCGACAGTATTCGATCATCAAGATCGAGTCATAATGAATTATATAGAGAGAAGTTTCGCTTTTCTAAGTAAAATTTTCAGTTTATTACATGATGTGCTGTTGCAAGACAAAAGGGTAAATAAAAAAAGAACGGGACACATTTGGTGCGTCACGTGACAGGTTAAATTCCATCAGAAACACATTGTAAGGCACAACAAATGTGTCTTCTGTGAAGACTATTGAATGTGTACTGTTATAAGGCACTTGTTGATACGATATATTTCGGGGCATATTAGATGTGTCGTCGTACATGGCACTTTCCTGTCATAGCATTTCAAACATGTTCTGTTTCTTCTGTTAGAAAAAATGCTTTTTTTTTAAATTCAATTCTTATTGGTAAACGAATTACCTTTTCTTTCGGTTTGATGCTCTTTTCAGAATCAAATAGATTTTTATCGAAATCATTTGTGGCAAGAGAAGCACTATAACACACATAATTCGTCTAATGTTGAACGCGTCTCTACTTTCAATGATAACGTCTTCTTATTCTTAAAATACAGTTTTTTTGTTATTGTTAAAACACAATGATAGAAAAACATAAATAAAACGAATACAGTACGAACGGTTTCTTTTTTGAATATAAAGACTGATTAAAAATTGAAACTAAAAGAAACTGGACATTCTATCCCGTTTTTTCATAAAATTTGAAATATATGCTTTGGATATTGTTTATAATGTTCGAGTGTTGCTTTACGTTCGCAAAGCAGACAAAAAACGACTGATGATCGACAATGTATACATCGAACATAAACGCCAGAATTTAATATATTTTCGTTACAACAATCGCATAATTTTGAATCTTGTGAAGAATACGATGATGGCGCTTCTTTTATATATAAATCTTGAAATAATTTATTTTGATCTTTTTCAATTTGAAGTCGATAGGGTTTAGCTTGAGTCCATATAAATGTTTTATTACAACCACTCCAATGTTCTTGTTTTCCACATATTACCATTAATTCATTATCAATTGATGTTGACGAATTTTGATCTTTTTCAACTAATCGATTACAATATGGACAAAAACGTTTATTACGAGTTTTATAATTTTCGTCCACCAAATATTGAGTATAAGCTATCTGTAAATCCATATTACGTTTAGTGTCTAGCGTTTGTTCAGTAGATGACAAGTGTCGAGCAATTAAACGTGAATTTTTACGAAAATAATACTCTCGTTCTAAACAATAATTCGAAAAGCAGTTTTGTAACAGATTTACATAGAATAACATACACACTGGCCTAAAAATTCTAGGATTTTTCTGAAACTCGACTTTCACTTAGCTATTTAAGTCTTTTTCAAATACAAACACTGCCTATAGGTTCAGCGTAGTCGATTCGTGTAATTTTAAATTCTGTTCATAGTCATTAGGTACTAGTTTTGTGGTTCTGAAAACATCCATTGATAAGTACAAAAATCAAGATCTCATTTGACTCCTGTTTTGAGTAGGACATTTAGAATTATCGGTATGGATGCCTTTGATCAAAAACTCAAAACACCAAAAGTTAAAAGGCAGGATGCATAAGATCGAAAATAAGAATATCGAAAACCTGAAATGCAGAACGTCGAACGGTAAAAACAACGGAAATGTGAGTTTGGAAGCGAACTCGTATCTCCAAAATATTGTTTAGTTATTATATAAAAACGACAACCGATTAAACATAATAAAATGTGTGCAACGTGGGAAAGATGAGTGTGAGTGAATATGAGAAAATGTAGCAAATGCTACGAATTCGTCGCAGCTGATAGGCAAATCTATCGAACTGCGAAGAAATATTTTGGAGATACAAGTTCGCTTCCAAAACTCACATTTCATTTCCGTTGTTTTTACCGTTCGACGTTCTGCATTTCAGGTTTTCGACATTCTTATTTTCGATCTTATACATTCTGCATTCTCACTTTTGGTGTTTTGAGTTTTCGAGATTTGGCCATATATTTGGATTATCCACTCATGGAATAAAAACACTACGCTGTCACTTAGTTTTAAATTTTCAAAAGTCAAACTCAACTTGAAAAAATTATTTTTTCAACTACTTTTGATTAAGAAAAGATGTTTTCACCTAGAATCCATTCTGATTTATATCACAAAATTTTATCATTGCGTTTCTACAGATGCGAGGTCATTCTACAGCTCTTGATTCTTTAAGACCACACCTGCTGGTAGAAATCTATCACGCTATCCATTAGTTCGAGTTTAACAAAAATTTCAGAGAATAATGACCGTGTCAAAGTATAGTAACGAAATTTTTTTTGATTCAATCTTTATCCGTCCGCGAGATGTAGTCATAACAGTGGTCAAGATGAGACTGTTCGTATATTCCAAAATTTTTTCATCCAGATAGATGGAAAGCTTGAGTTGATTCCAGAATGAAGCTAACACATGCGGCTAGAGGTTTGCAGAACTCAATTTTTAAACATTTGAGTCACTGATTTTCGGCAGTCACCGGAAACTGAAAATCTTTTTCTTTACTGAAAATTACAGCAACATTCAGTTGAGTTCTGTCAGCCTCTAATCGCATGCGTTAACTTCATTTTGGAACCAACTGAAGTTTTACAACATCTGTCTGGAAGAAAAAATTTTAGGATATACGAACATAAAGAATATCAAACAAAAGAATTAAAAAAAAGTGGCTGTTACTAATGTATTCGTGGCCCATGTTCAGAAGCGTTCCCTTCTCTTTATTGTGCCCACATTTGCATAGCTATAGAAAGATCATATATTATGACACTGTTATATAAGAAGAAATGGAAAAAAAGATCAATTTTTGAAAGTTTGGCGCTTCGAACGTTACAAGTTGATAATCTCTGACCTTCAAAAAATTTTCTGCTATTCTCGCATGGATCATGTTTGAAGAATTACGATGTTTATTTAATTAAAGTGATGATTCCATAGCTGTTTTCTCGAAAAAAACTATGTTGAGAAAAACGCAAAACCAGTTTTAACTTAAAAGATCAAGTTTTTCTCCTTGATAAAATGAGATGAGAAAGAAAAAACGGGCAGTCAGAGGTTTTTCGACTATGATGAATGGAATGATATGTGCGGCATATGTTTTTGCACACGTATAGAATGTTTGGAAAAAAAATTATTTTCTCAGTTTGGGTGTTTTAGAAAAATCCTTGTAAAACCCTCAAAAACTATCGTAAAATCAATAAATTATAGTATAGTCGGAAGTAGACACTTAAAACTACTCACTCATGTACAAATCTCAAAATCGATATTTTTGGTACAACTGTACAAATCTCAATAACGATATTTTTGGTACAAATGTACAAATGTACAAATCTCAATAACGATATTTTGGCAGCCTTAATCTTGAATACCACATATCTTAACGTAAACTTACCACTGCTATTCCACAGTGTCCACCGTTTAATTATTTGTGTCAGATCGGTACATTTGTCTGTTCGATTATAATGATACAATTGATTACATAAAGAGCAAAAATCCATTCGACATTTGCCACATTGTTGACAATCATCCGGTCTCTCACCCATGCTCAATTTTTCCCAAATACAAGTTAAAGTTGGACATTTAATGGTAGTCACCGTTTGTTTTTTAATTTTAACTTGTTGATGTTCTTTATACAGTTGAATTTGTTTTTGATCCAATTGTAATGAATTTAAATCGGTAAGTAATATTTCACATTGACATTTTTGAATTGGGCACCAAAACAACTGTTTATTCGAATATTGATTAATAACTGGTTTCAAAAAACAATCGGAACATAAACAGTGTCCACATGCACCCAATTTTGTTAGTTCAATGGCTAAACACGCTACTTTACATAGATCACATCGATTAATAGGAATTTGAGTGGGTGATCGACCTAAATATAAGAGACTATGTTACTGCTATTGAAACAAGATTTTTTAAATGACATTCTTAACAAATATCTTTTGTAAAATGACTTGATAATACGAGAGAAAAATTTATTAAACATACCCATATCATCAATGATCGGAATAATTTTTTCAACATCAATGTCTCGTAGTTTTTCACCAGTTGTTTTTTCAAAATAATTTGAAATACCCTTGATTACTACTGGACTAACTGGATATTTTGTTCGATCTCGTATAAAATTATCTCGTTGAGCTTCTTTTTCTCTTTCCGATTTTATTTGTGCCAAACATAGACGTAAATGTCCTTCATATGATATTCTATCATAAAATGGAATTGTACAATTATTACAACGAAATTTTTCTAAACGACCTTCTCCTCCTCTTTGTGCATAACAATGATGTTGATCAATATTATCAAAACAAAGAAAACATTTATCACATTTCGTACGTTCATTTATTTGTCGACATTCATATCTAAAGATGAATAAAAAAATTGAATTAAGACTTGATATAAACCCCTCCCATAACAGAAGATCACCTGGTCTTCCGTTGTGTCCGGCAAGTCGAGTTTTAAAGGGTAGTCTTCTGTTGCGGTCAGATTTTGTCGCCTGTTAGTAGTCTGTCGGTATCTGAAGTCCATCCTCTCTTAGAAGAACATTTTGGCGAAATTTTTTTGAAATTACCCTATATATAAGGCATTTTCCGATTTTTTTGGCGGACATAATAGAAGACCAGTGGTCTGCTATTTGGCTCTCAAGTCATATAATCGGCAGTGGTCTTCTGTTATGGGGAGGGGTTTACGAGATGTAAATGAAACTAGAGTGAACAAATATCGAATGACCACCGTTGAATAACTCAGCAGTGTACAAAAATAGTATGAAAACTTCATTAATCCAAATGAATTTGAATTGAATAAATTTTAGTTTACCCGTCTGACCATTGTGCTTGCTCAATACCAGCAAATTCAAAAAGATCTGCTGATACATCAGATATGATCAAATTTGGATACGATTCTTTTGCCAACATATTTTGATTTAAATCACGTTCATTGGGTGCTTTTAGAATAAATAATGGAACACATTTGTTGTATAATATTTTATTCATTAAATCAATGGTATCTTGATTTTGAATAGTGAAGGGTGTGATAATTTTAAATGTTATACCTGAAATAGACATCAATATACTGGCATGAAAGAAAAAGACTCATCGATTAGTCATTTACAAGTACTAGGAAATGACTATTATGTCTTGATAACCTTTCTCTTCTTACAATTTCATACCTTGTTGGTTAAATAATCGATGTCTATTTTGATCAATCCACAGATTGATTTTGGTTTGATCAGCTACAATCGTATACATTTCGTTTGAACGATCTCGATAGTTTCTAGCTTGTTGAATTTCTTTGATCAATGGTGTCTGACATTCATTATCGTTCAAATTTAAAATCCATAGAATAATTAATTTTTGTTTGATTAAAGGTGGTCCTGACGGACCGAAGGTGGATGTACAAGAAGTTAGATCAAATCTTACTCGTCTTCGAGTAAGTGGTACGTCTGGTAAGTGAAAATAATCTCGACTAGGATCAATAGGATATCGATTTTCAACGAGAACTTCAGCACTAGCCTACAAAATAGTAGGAAGAGAAAGCTTTAAAAATTTTTTATTATAAAAATTTACCTTTTCTCTGATAGACCATGGTTGTGACGCTGATACTTGTGCTAATGAACTTGGATCAATTCGATTTGCTGCATTTTTCAGTTGTTCATCAGATGCGTAATAACTGAAAATATTCAAATTTGATTTGTTTACAGAATGATCATGTAGTAAATTAAGAGCCTACTTAAAATGTGGCCAATCTGGATTCGAATACAGTCGATCACGTGCTTCTCTTAATTTGGTTAATAATTTTGCCTTCCATATTATATAGGATTCTTTGTCCTTTGCAGGTAATTGCTGTGAATATGGATCAGTTTTATTCGTTAGTATTCGTAAATTTCGTCCGTGTTGTTGACATGCTCTTAATTCAGCCATAAATCCTTCATACGATGTAAAGTCAGTCAAACGAAATGGTGTACGTATTTGAATAATTTTTGTTCGATTATTGAAGCAGACTTGCCGAATATTTCGAGCTAATGCTATTGCAGCTTTCATACCGGAATTGAAACCTCTGAAGAGCAAATAAAGTGTGTAGAAAAATCATTAATGAATGGCAATAAATTAATTTATCATATAACTTCAATACAAATTTTTCTCTCAGGTCTCTGTCTATCATTATCTAGGCGCTATATGGAAGCTCCTGAAATATGTTCATTTTCTTCTTCGCCAGTCATAAATGACTTTTCTGCTTTTTTGATTGTTCGAAAAAAATTCTGTGTAATTCTGAAATTTTGACAGCTTATATCTGACTTTCAAGCTTGAAATGAAAAATACTTACCGACCAGGCCAAAAATGGACGCTGATCGCCGCATCACCAATTAAAAATGCCAGTTTTATACTTTCTACTTCTGTTCCATCATCCTTTTTTGTTAAATAATTTAATTCTTTTGTCACCTGATATGTGTGACGAACGTTTATTTCAATTGGTACGATTCGTTTAACATATTGCTTTGGAATCTTAAAGTAATCCAAACCCTGATAAACTGTATTCCACTCCGGTCCATTCCTATAACACGTAAATTTAAATTCATAATTATAAGAAAACATGAGTCTTAGCAAACAAAAAGTTTAGTAGCTGTTATAAGAAGTACCACACAATAGAAGTTTAACGGTCAGAAAGTTTTCACTTTTTAAAAAACGAAATTGCATTTTTGTCTGATATTCCAGGCAGAGTTACTACTGAAATATAAAGGTTCTTTCCTGCCGATTGCAAACTCCTATACGTAATTTTATGTAGACGAAACTTCACTTACGGCCTGGTATCGGGCAACCAAAGATTCAATGGTTGTTGTTTATTTTTTGACAACAAATCAAGACTATCTCTTAAGTCGTTATATTCACGTTCGGTTAAGCGAATGTTCAAATAACCACGTGTACTTGTTGACGAATTCACTGAAACAAATAGGAAAAGATTCAAAAACTGCGAAAACTTATAACTGATGACTCTACTCTCTAAAACAAAGCTCTATGTGATACCATTTTCTGCTGAAGGATTTCGAAATGGTTGCAATTCTCTAAAGCATATGATCTTTGAACTACAAATGACTTCATAGTAACCACATACCGTTGATATGGTACTGTTGTAGAAAAAACATTTCAAGAAAGCATACGAAACTATACGACCCAGTTAGAAAAGTTGATAAAGTTTTGTACAAAACGAATCGTGGGAAAATCATGACGAATTTTGTCACGTTCTACGGTATCATTGTCCAAAACCTTTTTTAGACAATGATACCGTATAAAGGATTCTGTAGCTACTACGAAACCATCTTAACTGTCAGAAGCAAGAAGTTTAAAGAATTGCAAAAATTAAACAATGCATGAACAGAAAAAGGTTTTGTATGGAGTTCTTTTTTAGAAAATATATACCTAAATATCTTGTTTGAGCAATAGACAGAATGCAGTTCAAGGCTTGATGCAATGGTTGATCATCTTTGGACAGAGGAATAACATCCTCAGGGCCTGGAATATCATAGGCGATGCCGCATGCAAATTCTCGTCCTTCGCTTCTTGACTCAATATTACAGTATTGTCGAATTTGAGATCGAACCCCATCAGCACCCACTAATATGTCAAAATCGCCGGTCAAAAGACACGGTGTTTCTGGAGTGATCCGCTCGGGAATCAGAACTATTTGTTGTTTTAACATGAACGGTTCCATTAATTCAAATAGACGATCTTCAACTTCACGAACAGGAATATTTCTTGATGAGGGCCAAACACGTTCATTAATATCTTTGAATAAACCTAGATAGCAAGAGACAAAAGGAGTTTTGGAAGCTATATGCCCAAAAATGTTACCTGAAAATGATTACCTAATTTAATATAGTCGTGTAATTGATTAATAACATGATCTTGGAGTGTGATAACTTCATCTCGTCGAATATTTCCTTCAGCGGGTCCACGCCATTTGACTCGCCCTCCATCACTGGCATCAGAAAACCAACGTTGTTCATAAATATAAATCAAAACGTTCTCACCCATCAATAAACACAAATTAAGTGCAAAAGTCAAACCGATTGCATCTAAACAAAGACTTTGAATTTATAATTGTCCCAGACACAATGGTCCTCATCTGTCTTCTGTTTAAGAACAATAGTTTTTTTTATAGAAAACTTCGGTTTTCTTTTAATGCTCGTTTGATACTTTAGAGACCATAGCATCGGAATGTCAATAATGTGAATATACATGTGTTTATAACTGAAATCTATTTTTCTGAGAAAATGATCTTACCTCCACCGGCAATAACCACTTTCAACTGTTTCTTTCCGTCATTGTTGGGTGGCACTTCAAGTAATGCTCTTGTACACTTATCCATAACTAGACAATATATAGAAGAATACTACTGAGATATATAATAAAGAACTATTAAGGAAATATATAAACGACCCTAGACTATTACCTGTTTATTAAATAATTTGTTGATGATATTGTCTTATATTATCTCATAGCTTTGGGTGTACATGCAAGATGCAACTACGCATTACAATTTAAACGATTAAAATGCGAAGTTGTTCTTCCGTTACACATTTATTTTTCTTCTCTTTTTCTATCTATTTGATATTCGCTTGCCGAAATTGTACAAATCACAAGGAAAGGTTGTGCAAGTTTATAGAGAAAAGGAAAAAGATTATTCATTTTGGCCTAGTGATCATACTAGTACTATATTTTTCACAGGAAAAAAGCCCTATTCGTGAATCCTCGATCTACAAAATAAAAATTAAAGAATGTTCATCTGTTTGTTCTTAAAAGTCAATTTTCTTTTCACATCGTGCTTGACTGAATCGGATTACAACAGTAAGTTATTCGGGCGATGATGGAAGACAAGTGCGATATTCAGTTAAAAAAATTCTACTGGGTTACTAGGACTATCCAACAATATCCTCCCATCATAGAAATCCTGCGTTGATTTCGGTACTAAGATTGCCTCCACGATCGTATCTGTTACAGGATCAGATAGGATTCGATTTGTTCATCATTTTTATGTGATTTTCATTTGCTCCAGGGGCGTCTATCCCCACCAGAATATATGAGGCATTTTGTACCACCTCGAAGGTTCGATCTCTCAGTGTACCACCTAAAAAATTAATTTCTACAGCAAAAAAGCGTACCACCTTACGTTTGTTTGAGGCATTGCGCCTCAAATGTCCCACAGGATAGACGCCCCTGATTTGCTCGTTTTTTGTTTCAAAAGTGGTATGAGATTGACTCTACAGGTATTGAAGGAATACTTTATCTTTAACTAGAACTGAGGAGAAGCGATATAAAATATTTGGTGACAGAAAAAATTGGACTGAAGATTGACCGGTAAGGGGTCACATCAAAATCTCCAAGAAACTATATTCCACATGTTTTTTCAGGGGCAACTGAGGGCTTTTATTTCAGTTCATTACCACTACAAAGTCCACAGAGTCTCATATTCCTGGCTCTCAGCCCATAGATACCTTGACGGAACTGTATGTAAAATATGAAGAGCCCCAAAAAACATTATCGTTTGTTTTTAGGGCTTTTAGTATTTCGATTGTAAGAAAGAAAAGTCGCAATTATTTCGAATTGAGCTAGTAGTGGATTTCGAAGAACGCACTTCATTCTACAAAACAAGACGCTTTCCAGGATTCTACGATATTCTTTCCGAATATTATAGGATAGGCGAAAAGAGAAAAAACGGTAACGCACAGAGATTCCAGTAGCAGAGTCACGCGTTTTGCATGAGTAATTACGAACTTTTTCTCTGCTTATTTGATAGAAACATGTCTAGCTTAGAAACAATTTAAAAAAAATACACTAGAAAACAATGAGCATAATTTCTGTTCAATAACGTGAATGAGCAAAATTGTACAAGAATTACAGCTGATTTGAATAATTTAACTCTTCCTCTATCACAACCCATGCAAAACAATTCAATTTTGTGGGTCATTTATCTAGATTCAGCTCCACGTACATCTGGATGCACGTACACCTGAATCTAGATAAATGGCCGAATTCAAAACGATGAATAAGCAACTTCTCACTTGCTTGTCTCACTGGTGATGTGTGTAAAGATCCACACAGACCGCGTTTTTGTTTGTTCGAGAAAAGCAGTCTAATCTATTCAGCACTTTTTGTATCTTCTTAACGATACTGCGAACTGTTATCGAAAGGAATTTTATCGAAAAATACTTTAGTGAAATTTTTTTACTGTAGGGTATGGTTACAAAACTTAAGTACGGATAGAATTCAGTAGATGGCAGAGTCATAACAGCGCATAGGAAAGCTGTTTTTGAGAAGGAAAACCATGAACCAAAAGCCAAAAAATATTTTCAATGAACTTTTAGATGAAAGTTCAGTGAATCTTTCTTAACCACTCTTCCAAGTAATTCCAATGGATCATGTATACAGTCACTAACGAGGAGAGAATGTCGATTATTGTACAAAATCTATCGGTAGGATCTGTTTACGATAATTTGTTAGAATAGAAGTCAAGGATTTTTTAAGAACAATTTCTAATACGATCTATTTCGACTCTGCACTATCTGCCTAGACTTCTATTGTTATGGAGAAAAATGCTTTTTTAATTAAAAAGAAAAGCGCTGCGTGTACTTTGTACGTTGTCGGACAGCAAAAAAACGCAGTCTATTATAGTATATTTTCAAAGTATACGCAGTGCATATAGCGGATAGACTTTGTTATTAGAAACATTGATAATAGAAACTATTGACTGTCCATCAAGCGTTCCCTCATTTTTCGATTTAGAGGGGGATTTATCTATTTTTCAAACTTTGCTAGTTTGTAGAATACATTCGTGAAATTTTCAGGTCTTACGGATATAATTTTGCTGAGAAAAAAATTAATTATCCAAAACTACCAAGATAATTTTCTTTCATCGAAACTCTTTTAGAAAACTTCGCTCGACCCTATATTTCATGTTAAAAACATGATTCTTGCGTAGACCGCCAAAGAAAAGTGTGAAGATCAGAGATTACCAACTGGTGGTGTTCAAAGCGCCAAACTCTCCAAAAGTGATCGTTTCTTTCATTTCTTTTTATAGAACAGTGTCATAACATATGGTCTTTCTATAGCTGTGCAGGTGTGGGCACAATAAAGACAATAAAGAGAAGGGAACGCTTCTGAATATGAGCCACGAATACATTAGTAACAGTCACTTTTTTTATAATTTTGTTTGATATGTAACACTGTAACAATAAATACAATGAAATATTTGTACTTTAAAATAAATGAAGTATTTCAACTCACACAGACACATAGAATAGCTATCATGTTGTCCGTAACATTTTGTGTAAGACGAGGTACTTCTTCACCTTTGGCGTTGCTGTCATTACTTCTGAAAAAATTACATCTTAAAAATTATTGTTGTTAAAAACTCAAATTTCCGTAAAATTTAATTTAAAAATCGAGTTTAGAAATTTCAAAAATTCCCTCGCTCATACCAGGTAGAATTTGATGTTGAACAACTTTTGTTTCACACTTCCTTTCAAAATATTGTGCAAAACTTCGTTCACGGCTTTCTTAAAAATACTTTTTGCACCAAAAATGGATCGGGCGAGTCAAATCTAAATTTCTTCGCCAAACTTGACCCGATAACGATGAAATTTTTTTGTGGATACATCTTGAAGTGCTCTATCTAAAAGTAACAGATTCAGGATTTCGTGTCGAAAAATTAATTTTTCGAATAGAGCAAAAAATTTAGACTAAACTTAAAAACATTTTTCTCAACATCTACAGACCTGGCAACTGAAAAAACTGTCGGGATATATATTTCAAAGTGTCGTCCACAAACTGGTAGAAAAGGTCCAGTGGATAGACCCTTCTCTTAAAAGACAGTTGAACGTCTATCGTGTTAGATGAAAAACTAAATTTTGCGATGTATATTGATGTTATTTATAATCACGATTTTGAGAGAATATAAAAATAATTCATTAGGAAAGCAACAAAGGTCAAAGATCAGTTTGCTTTTCTAAAGGAAGTCTATAGGAGAGACCGAGCTGTTTCGTATACTCTGTTCAGCTCCATCTATGAGAACGCTCACGTTTCGGATGAAATTCGTAAATCTACCTCTGTGCTTCTCTGAAAATGCTCAAATTGCACAACTTGTGATCTGTTGGGCGTGAATTCTGTAAGGCACAAATGTGGACTTTTACAAACTTTGGCTGTAATATATGTTGTGCATAGTCAAAGATTGACTTGAACAGATGCCTAGACGTATATTCTTTTCAGCTCAGTAAGGCGAGAAAAAGTACAAGTTCAGATTTAATCTTAAAACTATATTTTTTATAGTCTACTCTCCAATTTCCATTAACTTTCTCGAAGTTCTACGTGTATCTTTTCAGCTCAGTTGGACGAGAAAAAGTACAAGTTCATATTTAATCTTAAAACTATATTTAGTCTACTCTCCAATTTTTATTAACTTTTTCGAAGCTCTATACTAGAAAATTTTATACTAAATAAAAAAGAATTAATACTAAATTTTAGTATCTTTAATTTGTCTGATACCATACCGAACTCAAATAACGATACAAGATGGCGATTGTATTTAAGTACTTTTCACTACTTCTAATATATTAGCTGTTTTATATAGTCTTCAACTACACAGATGTTTCTGAAACATGGTCGACTATAGACGTCCATATCATCACTGTATCGTATGTTAACTGGTCTGTTGCTCATCAGTTTGTGTAATGTTTTTTTACAAGAAAATAAAAATGATGTAAAAGATCGAAATTGTACCACATCTTTCTCTATATTTAAGTCAGAGAGATGCTATACATATCAAGTCCCTTTTGTCTCTTAGCAGAGCGAAGAAGGAAGACATTTTTCTTTTCTTAGTCTTATTCGACTTCACGCGTGTACGAAGTAATTCGCACATTATAGAAGTTTACATATATTATAAATATACTTGATCGAAAAAAAAAATTAACGGTTGCACACACATACATACAGAGTGAATCCAAAATTGACCTATTTAAGTTTTTCGTCCAGCAGCTTTTTTAAAAAATTTCAAAAGTACGTACATATCAATTGGAATTACGGTCTCAATGAGAACGGAAAACATTATAATAGAAGTACCTTTTGGAAAGGTAAATTTTCTTGCAACACGATAGCAACTGATTTTACCTTCATCAGAACTAAATCCTATAAATTTGAATGAAACGAGTTACTATCTGATAGATGGAAGAATTCCACAAAGAAACACTATTCTGTGCATTCATTGTTCTCATTCTACTTTTATCAAGCTGACAAAACGCAATGTAATTCTTCTAATCAACAACTTTGGTTTCAGATCTTCTGCATACATAATCGCCTTCACACTTTTCGATGAGCTCTCTTTCATCGCATGGATTGGAAGAACAGTCGAATTGCTAAAATTTGTCTCAATGACATGCTTCTTTTTTACTTTTAGTTCAAAATAATAAATTAAAAATGTATTCAATGCATGCCATGCCAAGTCCACTTCGTTTGATTCCAGCTAGTCCCATGATTCCTACGAGTCCAATGACTGGCGTTCAAACATTTCTAATAACATTACCAGAATCAATGTTACAGCAAACAATGACTCTTAATCCTTGCCAATATTATCCAGATTTACAACAACAGCAGCTACCTATTTCATTCTCATCTCTTTCACAACATTTCCCACAATCACAGTGTGCAGCACTAATGACCGCCGCATCAGCCGTCATGACACCACATATTGCTTCATCAGCTGCAGCCACATTTTGTGCCATGAATACCAATCGAACAATTCAAGTATCATCACCATTACCATCACATTTTATTAATCATAATCATACGGCAACATCACAATCGTCAATACCATTTCTTATTCAAACAAATCAGATGATGTCACCAGTACCAGCATCACCTGTATCATTTATTAAACAGCAAGAACATATACAATCACAACCGGTACCATCAACATCATTATCACCCATTCCATTTCCTGTAATGGAAAAACAACCACTGCCAACGACAACATCAACAACAAAAGCTATAACAACATTAACTAATCGATTAATTGATTTATTGAAATCAAGTGAGTGTCTTTTTGTCAAAGCGAGCATCAATCTGTCAGAAGTCTATGTTAATCAGGAAAAACAGCCAGCTTTATCCACTCTGCATTCTATTTTTTCAAGGCACATGGTCATTACCAGTAAAAGTTGAATTATTAGATATATTCGGTGATAATGCCGCAACACCAGAATCAATCGATTACTGTACAAGTTATTTGACGGATATAGCCATATTTTTGGGTATACGTTTGGTAAATAATCTTTAGTCGAAAAATTTTGTCAAGATGAGCCATGTTCGTTTTATATTGTAGGTTAAATTACAATTACCAGCAAATGATGTTTGTCCAAATATATGGTCAATTCTGTGGAAAAATCGAATGTGTTATCTTGGCTATGGTAAGAGAGGAAAAAAACCTTCTAATTTTTTGACTTTTTATTGTTTTTGTTTTTTTTCAGTTACTCATCGACTTGTAATTCAACAAACAGTGGAATGTTTCAGTTTAAAATCAGCCTATGAATACAATGAATTACTTGATGAATTAATTGAACGTTGTGGACGAGAAGATTTTAATCGAAAATATATGAATCGATTAATACGATTATTCATCAAAGCAAAATGTCTTCGAGTAAGACGGGAAGGTTTGCATGTTCTCTCTTTAATTAAACGTGTTTTGTTTTATTTTGTCTACAGAAGTACCATGAAAATTCAATGGTATTGGTAACAATGTTAGAAGGTGTTGATAATTTAGAAGAATTTTGTTTAAAACATGATATGACATTGGTTCGATTATTATTAATCGAAGGTTCGTAGTCATCTTTCTACCAAAAAAAAAAAGGAAGTGTTTTATATATTATCTTCTTTTCCTAGGTTTTCATTTTGAACCAGAAGAATATTCATTATTATTATGTGGTAATGATTCATTAGTTGAACATGTTCAATCGTTTGTAGAAAATTGGTATTCAAATTATTCACTTTCAATGTGTATCCAAGATGTATTTGCTGCACAACAACGGGCCTATGATCCATTTGATTTAGATAAATTTTGTGAAGAAATGGAGGCATTTAAAGCATATTCAGGTTCGTAGACATTTTTTTAGCATATTGTCGACAGAATAAAATATTTCATTGATTAATTTTTGTTTCTAACATAAATTTTATCTTTGAAAAGAGATGGCCGAGTTTTTCCGATTAAATTGGTGTTTTTTCCACATGTTTAGAAGTTGAACAAATGTCACCTGTATGTATTTTAAATTCATTACAAGCAATTGTCAATATATTGAGTATTTTGGAACAAAAGGCAGCTGATCATTGGTGTCAATATCATGGCCCATTTCAAATTATTTCTAAACGTTCAATTAAACAGCCTACAGCCATGTCACAATATATTCTTTTACCACCATCAGGTCAACAAAATAATTGTGGATCAGATGGTGAATAATTTATTTATTTATTTATTTATTTATTTATGTATTAATTTATTGTTTGTCGTGTTTTGTACTGTTTTTTTTAATGATGAAATCTTCTCTGTTTTTACAAAAAGACAATTGATGCATTAGTCAAGAGAAACTTCGCTATTTTCTTCTAAAAACTGCATTTGTTTTTTTCCTTTAAAAAAAATAATTTTTTTGTCTTTTTGAATAGAATCTTTTTTCTATATATATTTTTCTTTTAGTGAGATTTAAGAAAGAAAGATTAATCTCACAATTTTTTTTGTTTAATTGAGAATGAGAGTGTGTGCACAGATGATGAATTTCTGAATATTTTTTTTTTGCTATTGTTCTTTCTCAATTTGTTTGAATATTTTGTGGTCAATATGTGCTCTTTTGTTCTGTTTAATTCATAATCTTGTTGTTTTCACTCAATAAAAAGAATATATAAAAAAAACAGTGGGGGATATTTTTTGTTGGATCCGATAGAACGTTTTAGTCATCGTAGTCAAATTTCCTGCGGAAAATCTCGCAGAAGCCATGCAGTAATGAAAAGGAGAATGAGCTCCTTCAAGAATCCTGCTTACGGACTCCCGTTTTGGTAGGACTTTCGAAGGACTTCAACTCGGTTCTCAGCAAAATCCCTATAGAGTCACATTCACGCAATCTCAATTTTGTTTAGAAATTCTCCGAGATTTCCGCTGAAACTGCACAAGACATTTTCATTTTTTTGTTTTTGTGGTACACATCGTATATGAAACACTGATTTCATGACAAGTTTTCCGTCACATGAATGATTAGCTACTAAAAAGGTTGGCTTATAATAGCCTAGACTGAAGACACACTGCTTGTCCGATTTTTATGAGATCAGCCGTTACCAGACAGGAAAGGTACTGGCTACGATCAGAACGGATACCGATTCGCATCTAGTCTGATAAAAATAAAATACTTGATTCGAACTGACTGGTACTGTTATTTACCTAGCCCCAACTTTCATTTGAACGAGCAGATGGAATACCAAAATACTAACTTGAACATGGAAAATAAGCTAAAAAGTGTCATTTAATGGTACATCACAATAATTAAAACGAATTATTGTGCTGTAGTATTAAATATTCCTATGAGTTTTAAAAATTCGGCCGTTAAACAAGAACGGCGTGGATGACATTGTAAAAAATGTGTCTGATAAAAATAAAACATGACAAAGTGTTGTTAAGGTTAAACGCACCCACATGATTTGTTCCGGAATTGTTAATGATAATAATAACAACAATAATTTATTCAATCACCGGTGGATGAGAGGTCATCAGTCTGTAAAACGATGTTAGATCTAGATATACATAAAAAAGTGTAACAAAAACTAAGATAAAGAAAAAAGAAACCGATACTAAATGAACAACAGAAAAAGCAAACAACGACTACAAATATAAATAAAAGTAATAAACAAATAGAAATAACCGGAAGAAAAAAGCAAAAGAAATAAAAGATGGCACACAACTGTGTTGAAAATATGGTCAAATAATGTTGTCTTAAATGACAAAACTGAAGTATAAATAACTGACTATGGACGACTATTCCAATCAGGCATTGTAAGCCAAAAAAAAAAGATTTTTAGAAGAAAAATTTTGTGAAAGAGGTGGAATACAAGCATAGGTGGTGTGTTGACGACGACGAAGAAAGAAAGTAGGTGGTTGTATTGTATAAAATACTTGGAGAGGGCTTAAATAGTGATACATTTTATAGAAATAAACGAGATGGAAATATTTCGGAAGTTTAAAAGTTGAAGAGCTAAATAAGAACCATGAAGAGCGGTAATTAAAATTCTGAGGAATAACGCGAGCAGCAAAATGGTTCACAGAATCAAAAACCGAAAGAGAAAAAAAACTATCATACAGAGCACAGCAGTAATCAAGTTCAGATAGAATACAAGACAAATAGATTCGACGTCGTACCTCAGGCGAAGATACGCCCCAAAACACCAGGCTTGGGCTTCCAGCTCCTGGTACCCTGCATAAACACGGACACACACACACACGTACACAACCCACACGAGCCTGGTTTTAGCTGAAAAGTTTTCAATAATAGACATTTTTCTTAGTTAAATAACGAGACTAAAATAGGTTTGACTCAGTATTTCTTTGCATAAAATGACTAATTCCTCCTCATGATAGATGAAGTTAAGTACACATTTAACTTTATTCAGTCCGCTTGTTCTTTGCACATATATTTAACGAAACCCTGGAGATCAAGATTTTCTCTTAGGTACTGAACATTTGCTGTTACTTCTGGACTTGTCAAAATGACTTTATCACAATCACTCTCCCTTCATGAAGAAAACTGGGCGAGACAAGAGCATTGCAAAGATATATGCTATCTTCGTTGCCAGTGAAAAACGTGCAATTCTCTATTCTATATTTTATTTTTTTGTTTATTTCGTATTATTATATATTACAGAACCCACATAGAACGAATTTATCAAAATTCATTTATATAACGATCACTTTCAATTACGACATCATACACGAACTTCTCTTCACATCTATCTATTACGTTTATTTTTATTATATTCTGAGCAATTTGTCTTAAATGTCATCCTTTGGTAAGTTTTCCAATTTATTTGAAATTCAGAAATGGGAACAATAGCAGCAGTTAATTGAACGATGATTCATAGGGCGTCTTTGTTTTTACTTTTTCAGTAAAATGTCATCCTATATCAATAAAGTAGCTGGAATTCTTTGGATTAGCTTTTTCAGAAACGCAAACCGTCTTTAATTCGCAAAACGAATTTTGTTTTTGAATAATAGATCTGAAAAAAAGCCAAAGAAGCAATTTGCATTTTCAAAGTCGTAACTGCTAGCTCTTTTTTTACCGTTTTCTTGTTTAGATATATTCCAGTCATCAAACGGAAGTAATAGTAGTGGTAATGGTGAGAATGGCGGTAAAGACGACAATGATGATACTCCAATAACCGCACATGTTGTTCGGAATATTATGGAAAAAGTAATGAGCACTCCATCGACGACAAGTTCACACTTTTTCAATGAATTTGGTTATTTACAATCATCAATTACCGATGAATATGATAGTCCATTACTAGGCTTTACCGATGTTGCAAATGATTCATCTCAAGATATGTTGATGTTGTTACAACCACCAGACAATAGTAGTGGTACAAATAACGAAATAAACCATCGTCAACAACAACATGATATATTTCAACAGGTAAGTTGTTGAAAAATCAGTAAGAAATGAGCAATAACTTTAACTATAAGTGAACGAATCCGAAATGTTCTAGAAAATTTGACGGATGATTTTTTTCAGATTTTATATTTTATAAATAAAATTATTATTAGTTATTTCACAGGCGTTCTAAACATTAATACAGCATCGCTGTCTGTCATGAGTTTTCTTTAGGGCTATATTTTTAACTGTTATCCCCTCATTGTATCTTGATTTTAGCTTGGAAATTCATTTCAACAGCAACAACAATGTTATTATAATGATTCACCTACATCAGTCAATTTACTTTCGTCGTCAGCTTCAACGTCGATTAGGGGTGATGATAATTTTGGCAGTGTCATTATTGGCAGCCAACGACGCAATGAAAGTGTTCATACTAGAGAAAATAGTCTCGATTCGAATAACAATGATAATAAAAAATTTATTGCCAAACGAGCTAGAATCGATATGACCGATCATGTTGTACAAGCAAGATGTTTATATTTTATGCTGGGTAAGGTAGATGTTTGTTAATAGAAAGATTTTTGATTATGATTCATCATATCTATCGTTCAACCTTTCAATGATAGTTAACAAAAAGAATTCTGAAGAATTTAACTTTGTCTGAAGTAATAATTCAGATCGATAAAATCAGTTATTTTAACCCAGAAACGTTGTGTGAGATCTCAACACATGAATTATGCTGTTCTCTCTTGATATTTAAGGTATTAAAATGAAATGTAAATTTTGTTTTGAAAATGGTGAATCATTTGAAGTTTATCGTTCTCATATGTTATACAATGGCGCTGGTACAATATTATGCCCAATACTGCGGGCTTATATTTGCCCAAAATGTGGGGCTACTGGGGATTTGTCCCATACATTACGCTATTGTCCAATGCAAACACAACCAATGCAGTTATTAACATTGGATTAGACATGTTGTTAGAAAGATGCTTAGAGATTGTTTAGCAAATATGTACATATATTAGATGTACATAGAAGAAAGTGTTTTTATTTCTATGAAAAGCGAGATCTGCATTTTAATATGTATATAAGAATGTTCACATTTTATTATTTTACTTATTTCCTTTTGCCTATTTGTGAGTTTTTCATCATTCTCTCTTAATTTTAACTGTAAAACAGTAATCTATCAATGAAACAAATAATAATTGTAGTTGTTAGAAATTTCTTGTTTATTTTGCTCAATGTATGTGTGATATTCTATTGTTGATGTAATTTGGTTATTTTTGTTCTCTTTTACTCGGGGTATTATCTTACTATTTCTTTCTAGCTCTTAGTTCTATTTGTTTTTCATTCGAGAACAAAACCGACTAATTATAATTATAATAGTTGTGTGGTGAATTTTTTATTCTTGTGTTGTTTTTGTCTTTCTTTTGTTGTTGTTTTATTTTTGTTAGGAAATAAGTAACAAGATAAACATTTATGAAAAGTCGAAATGAACGTCAGAAACGAAGAATGATTAGAAAACGCTAATGTCCGGTTATTAACAGTATTTTGTGGAAAAAAATGATCGAATTCATAATTGAAAATTGACTTGTGAATATCTATGAAATTGTGTCAAAAAACCTCGATAAAAGTGGCTCGTAAGCAAGAGGCGTTTTGAAAATAGAAGGTAAATATGACGTTACAAGACTACCTATCAATTTTGGTAACATTAGTACTATTACTGTGAAGTATTCTTGCAGGTTAAATCCAAAGCTGATTATTTTTTTAAATTCACTTAGAGCCATTTTGAAAAATGAGTTTTATTTTTATTTACTAAATATCAATATGATGTGACATACTTTATTAATACTCGAAAAAACTTGTTATTTTTGTATCAATTTAATACAAAAATCTATAATTATGAGTGCGGTGATACAATTTTTAAAACATGTTTTAAATGATAATACCTATACCAACATATTGCTAGATAACTTACATTTACCTATTGCAGCATTTTTTTTTTTGTTTCTATCAAACCAACGCACGTAGAACTTTGTATTTGTTATACATAGTTTCCGTGAACCAGCTGAAGAAAGTCCAGATAAAGCTAATCCAGAGGCTCATTTTAAAACATGTTAAATAAGTAAATTTGAGTGTGTAGTAAGCATTGCTATTTTTATATAAATATAAATGCCGTATTGTTCCATAAAATAGTTTATTTTTTTTTTACTGAACGTGGGATTCATGGCACAAACGTGTGTTGATCAGTCATGCATCTAGCCAAAAGAGATTCAATGAATACATACAACAAGAAAAAACATGAGCCGATAAAATCTTCACGCTTAAGAGCAAATATGTCTGATATCAGGCGTCAAGGAGGCAATAGAAAATGTTAGATCACAGTGAGCATGGTAACAGCTCAACTGAGTGTAAAAAAAGAGCAAACAATCTAGAGAAGTTGGTAAGTTTGGTACGGACGTTGCTAACACTCAGATAATACTTATGAATTTGGTGAGTCTTCCTCATCCTTAGTTACTCCATTTACATAATCAAAAGTTTTTTTTTAGGAAATATTTATATGTGCGAGCAAGTGGATTCGGCGTACTCCCAAAATCGCTATTTATACTGCCACAAGCACCTGAAATATTAATCACTTCGACTTTTAATGCATCAAAATCATTTTCCTACGTTAAAACACATTGTAGGCGTCACGAGGCCAAATGATGACTAATTACTTACACTATTTATTTCCGAATCGTTGTTACGTCAAAAAATGCATTTAGGTAAAATCATCTAGAAAATTGACGAGAATCAACTTCAGAAGTCCACGGTTAAAAAATACTTGACCATGGGTATTTATCGATACTAATGCATGCCAAATTGCATGCAACAGAATTTCTGAAGTGAAAAATAGAATATAATTTCAAAAATCCGGATTTGGATACATGGCAATAAAGACCCAGAGAATTGTAACAAAAACAGTATCCTAATGTGACAGTAAACACACAAGAATATATAGACCTGTAACAGTTCCAGCTCATAAGTTCAGCTCATTTGAGCGAAAGAACTGTTGAACAGTTCTTTTGAAAGGAGCTGATATGTTTGAACGGCTTTTTTGAATTTTTAAAAATTGAAATTTTTTGAATTTTTTGAAATTTTTTTGGCTAAAGCTTTCACGCTAAAGTAAGAGCTTGCTCAACTCGAAGCACTGGAGAAGAACCGTGATACATTTGCGTCATTCAGTTCCCAGTGAGAGCGCATTCTTAATCGCAGGCTATGTTGCTCGAAAAACACGGTCTTCTCTCTCAGCTAAAAACTTGAAATATTCAACGTTCCTAAACAACTGCTATTCTTTGCGGATGTATTTTGCTTTTAAATACACATCGATATCTCCTTTTAATTTGAAAAAAAAAATTCAGTGGTTCTTTTTGTTATCATCATCATATGAAAAACTAGATAGATGGACTAGCTCCAAATGAAAGTATTGGTGAATGTACACTAAAACAGAGTAATAAACAAATTTCTGTATATCACTAATCCTTCTTGAGCTACGATATTGGCCTACTATTAATCATAAATCTAGTAGGTTCAGTTTTATTTTCGCTTAACTCATTGACTATAATAATTTGATGTATCTTTGCTGATGTACACAGTTTATACCCATTAATCAGTCGTTTTCAGTGATAATACTAGTTTTTTTTCAAATAACTTTAAGAAACTTCAAAGTATATTCTTAGGGGTATGACAGTTCTATATCAACTCCTATCATAGGAATTGTTGAAAAGTTCTTTCGAACGGAGCTGATATGTTCGAACAGGTCTTTTGAAAGGAGCTGATATGTTCGAGCAGCTCACTAGTCGTCTAGACAAAGTTTAAACGTCCCGAATGTTCATTAGACGTTCATATCAGCGAAGTCCTGCAATCATAAATAGAAGCATGTAAAAT